CGTGCCATTTTTCTGAACAAGGGAGAAGGACTCATCCTTCAACACAACACAAAGAAACTCCTTCATCACCAAACAGCTTTCAAAGACAGATGCTTTGTTTCTAATCAAGCATGCTATTCCAGGGTATTGGGCATACTGCACACCATGTGTTAGGCACCTCTGTGAAGCAGATGACACTGGCGTTCTGCTGGTATTGTGATTACTGGTAGTGGCTTCATGCACAGCATGCTCTCGGTGAACTTTATGAATAGTCATTAATTCTTAGATTCTTCTGTAGCTTAAATGTCACTGCTTTAGGAAAGGTTGTCAAAAATTTTGAAAAAAGTGTTTAAAAGAAAATTGCTTGCAGAAACCTGAAACTTTAGGGGGATAGCATCAATAAGAGATGATCACAACACATTTGAACCCCAGATTTTTTGAAAGGTCTAATGAATTTCAATGTGAAGAATGTTATCACTGTCCTTAAAATGCAGTCATAAAAAGTGGAAGATGACTTACTGCTAAAGTGTGTAAAAACATTCATTAGTAAAGAAAACCCTAGTAAAACAAACAAAAATAAAGCTGTTCCAACTGGAAGGGAGGCCTAGAGTTCTGGTGTTTTCCCCTCCTCCAAGTCTCTTCTAAGGAGCGTGACTTGAAAACTACCTTCCTAGGTTATGGGGCATGTGCACGAATCAAGAGAACATAGTGAGCACGTGAGGTACAGACTAAGCAGCATTTTTTAGATGGAGAAACATTTTAAAAAATTATTAAAATAACTCAATCTTTTGCTAACTCAATTAGAAATAAGACAAGTATTTCACTGTTTCCAATTTCAAGTTGAATGTAGCGCTTCAGAATTTTAGATATTTCTTAAGATCCTCGAAAACACTGGTGCTGTCAAGTCCCAGCTCCTCGTACAGGAATTTGATTTGGGCTGTAATCTAAAAGAAACACATTTTTAAAATGAGAAGACATCTGTGAAAACTCTAGTGTTTACGCTTCACTTTATCTTTACACAACACTGAAATTAGTGCTTTTTGAAAATAATAGTTTTATTTGGGACAGAGGCAGAAGGTTTTCAACAATTAAGACTCAATTACTTTCTCTAATAGAGCTCATTTATCAAGGATGAGCCAGAGACTTTTCTCTTCATTGGTTCAGTGTCCTTCCTCCCCTCTTGGGTCTCAGCCACAGACCTGACACTAGCAAAGTAGCTTTGTTATAAACCCTGTGGCAACCACTGAAAACTTGACCCCACCTCAAGCTGGGGAATCTGTCCACAGAGAGGGGCCTGGGTAACATACCTTTTTGTGAGAATCCTCAATCACATGATTGCCTCCAGGCTGAATATCTAAAATAATATTGGGAGCCTGATAGCCTGAAAGAGTTAAAATATATAAAAACAATTAGGTCTTTGGAAGATTGAGACTGACTTCTCCCCTCCTTCTGAGTATTCTAGTCAAATAAGAGTAAAGGAATAAAGACAAAACCCACCAACAATAAAGAGCTAGGAAGGGGAGCAGTAAGAGACGTTTCTGAAGCAGGGAAAACAGAAGAGAGCCAGGGTGTGAGGAGGCTGCACGGAAGACACCATGTGGAGAAGGCTGCGACAGAGGACACAGTTGGCTCTGGGGACTCTGAGAGTCTTGTGTCCTGGAAACACCATCTATAGCGATGAGTGGGAATGAAAAATGGAGCTGATACAGGGAGATTGTCTGACTTATGTGTGGTTTCCCCTCTACCACTGAACTCATAAAGTACTGGCATGCAGTTTCAAGGCAAAAAGGAGTTCTTACCTAATAAAATTGAAACTACTATCTAGATTTGGTTCTCAACCTTCCTAATGCTGTGACTCTTACTACAGTCCTTCATGTTGTGGTGACACCAAACCATAAAATTATTTTTGTTGTTACTTCATAACTATAATTTTGCTACTGTTATGAATCATAAATATCTGATATGCAGGAGACCCCCAAAGGGGTTGTGACCCACAGGTTGAGAACCGCTGATCTAGAAGAAATTAAAGAAGCCAGTTTGGGCATTGATGAGCCAGAAAAAACCTCACAATCTTGTCTTTCGGACAGCCAAGAATAATGGCTCAATTAATATTGTACAATAAGTTAGGCTGGATATTTCTGTTTTCTACTTTATGTCCTGTTTATCTTAATAGTGTCCTTTGAAAGGGAGGTGAGGCTGAAATAGTTATATATACTTCCAATGGGCAGTCAACATAGGAAAATAATTGTCCTAATTTGGAGATGATTTGGTTGTAGCAGAAATGTATGCCTCTGAGCAGTGTGCCAAAGGTATTGGTCTGTTTGGCCAAGTTTTGTGCTTCCAGGTGGTCTCCTACCTTCACCCGTGTCCTTTGCATGCTCTGTGACGGCTTCCTTGAGTTTCTCGGTATAGTTCACAATTCCTTGCAGAGGTACACGCTCATCATTTTCATAAGCTGTTATGTGAATGGAAGGATAATGCTAGAAGAAAATAGGTACAAAGAGTGTACATTATTACTTAGGGTCCCTCGACACTGCGCAGACCACAAACAGTTACCTCCAGTGTTTCCTCTAAATGCTAGGAGTTTTTTCTCACTTTATATTCTCGAGAGTGCCTCAGTTCTGTGGTATGAGACTACCTGTTACCTGGAATAGTCCTTTCTTGACTAAAGAGACCTTGTCTGATTTAGTAAATTAAGGCATTACCCTGCGGTAGTAAATTGAAACACACATGAGCATGAGCAGAGATGGTGCTTGAAAGATGTCTGGGTATTGTAAGTAGAGATACTTTTGAAGCCTTATTGATCTCCGTCTCAGCTAAAGTAAGTAGCTTTTTAATATCTTCTCTATCACTTCAGGATAACATAACTGTCTTCCACTACCTGAGGTTTAATATTTTGGTAGGGACAGTAACGTTTTATGTAGTTCTTGTGCTTGTCATCAGATGAAGGATTCCCCCATTCTTCTAATTCTTCTAATGTCAGAGGAAGTGTAGTATCCATCATGGTGTTGAGAACATCCAAGAAAGGTGCCTTAAAAAAACAAAAGCCAAAGGAACTTAGATTTAAAATCAAAGGTTGAGAAAATGAGTTTTAGAAAAATATTATACTTTCTGAATATACATACTGATATGAGAGAAGACACAAGCCAGACTAACTACTCAGTCCTTAGCCTATCATCTATAACCTGCTTTTAGAGTATTCAGACTCCTTAAATGACTTATAATAAACAGATTATCTTCTAATTTTATAATTTTTATTTTTAATTTGGAACCTTTTATTCATATATTTTCTTACATGAAAGTAATAAATGCTAATGCCATGTACCCATTAGAATGGCACCATCTTGAAAAAACAACAAAAAGTAACAAGTGGTAACACTGATGAGAATTGGAACCCTTATGTACTGGAATGCAAAATGGTACAGCGGTTACGGAAAACAGTATGGTGTTCCTCAAAAAATTAAATTTAGAATTACCATATGATCCAGTAATTCCATTCCTAGGTATAAACTACCCCCTCCAACTGAAAGCAGGATCTTGTAGAAGTATCTGTATACCCACGTTCATAGCAGAATTATTCACAATAGCCAAAAGGTAGAAGCCACCCAAGTGTCCATCAATGGACGAACAAACAAAATGTGGCATATACACACAGTGGAATATTATTCAGCCTTTAAAAGGAAGGGGATTCTGACACATGCTACACTATGATGAACCTCAAGGATCCAACCTGAGCAAAATAAGCTTGTTGCAAAAAGAAACCATTTTATATGATTCTGCTTATGTGGGGGACCCTTAGTAGTCAAATTCAGAGATGGAAAGTAGAAAAGGTGGTGGGGGAGGAAGAAGGGAACAGAAAGCTGCTTAATAGATGTAGAGTTCCACAAGCTGGAAATCTCATTTTGGAGACTTGTACAATCATGTGAATGTACTTAGTGCTACTTAACTGTTTACTTAAAAATGGTTAAGAGTAAATTTTATGCTATTTTACAACAATTAAATTTATAAAGAATGGAAAAAATACCCCAACAATATAGAAAGTCTTCCTCACCAGCTCTATATCTTACATTGACAGTAATAAATGCTAACTCAAAACTGGAAAGTATCCAAGGTGAAAGAAAAGAAAACCACCCTGGCTCATAGTCAGTGTTAAAACATTTAATAAAATAGAGGCTGCATTTTTTTACTTTGCTTTATATTCTCTGGTTAACATGCTTTGCAGGTTTCCTCATTAACATTAAGCAAGTATAGTGAGCATCTGTAATTCTTTTTGGCTGCCTAGCATCTGAACTCCTTTTCTGCATTTGAAAATCCTGAACATTATCAGACAGAGCTTGCCTCTTACTGGAGGGACCCCGACTGACAGTCCCTTTCCCAGCTTTCCTTGGAGCTTCGGAGTAGCTGAACCTGTGACTTAGGTCTATCAATCAGACACATGAGGTGCAAACTGCAAGGGAGGCTAGCAATTCAACATGATAGTGATCAGGAAGAACTCCATCAAGAGTACCACAGCTGTATCTACTTTCAGGAAACAAGACTGGCAGGGTATGAACTGATTCGGGCTCCGCAGTGAGGGTAGTAACAGTTTCCCTGGGCCAATCCTGTTTCTGGATGCACAGCCGCTACACTGGTTCTGAACACCCATGTTTCCCTAATAACCTTTAATGAATCCCTTTTCTGTTTGAATTAGAGTTTTTGAAGCTTGTAATTAAGAACTGTGACTCATACGTGAATCCCCCATTGTGGGGTATTTAGCTTGTCTCTTAATTCTTCACTCTAATAAGCAATTTTAGATAAATCTCCTTAAACATTTTTGTTTCTTTTCTAAAAGTCAAAAGTTGTTTTTTCTTTGTGACTAATCCTGCCATTATTATCTCTGTGCACAGGATGTTTTCCTCCATACTCAGTATTTGTATTTATCTTAAGAATAGATTTACAGATTAGGGCATGTAAAACTTAATACAAGCCTATCCCTCACCCTCAAAATAAAAAATACCCTGAAAGAATTTATTCTCTCCCATGTCAGCCATCACTTTTCAGAGTATCTAACCAGGAAGCTGGAGAATGATGGAGATGAAACCAACTGTTATAATTTCATACTTTTGGACACCAGGAAAGACTGTAGAGCATTTTCAGAGCAGGATAAGATATTTCAATTAAAGTACAAGAAAAAATTATGCCCCCCAAACCATTAAGAATAGGGGATCACTGCTGGGCACAGTTGCTCATGCCTATAATCCTAGTGCTTTGGGGAGGCCAGAGCTTGAGGTTACAGTGAGCTATGACTGGACCACTGTATTCCAGCCTGGGCAACAAAGACAGACCCTGTCTCAAAAAAAAAAAAAAAAAAAAAGAGGAATCTAAAAATAGCCCCTACATTCAGGATTAACATATTGATAGGCAGCAGACTGTCAAACTGCCTAGAAGTCAAGAGGATCTGGTGCCTTCCAGAGCCATGGTTTACTCTGACTCCATGGACCTGAATCGTATATGCTTCTACTTTTTTCTACCATTTCTAAATGTTCCTTTAAATAAAAATGACCAATGGGAATAGCCATTAATATCTTTCAGAGCAAATCCTTAAAAATTAATAAAAGGAACATTCCTAAAGAATAAGAGAAAATAACTCAGATTAAAACAACTTTAGAAGTTCTTTTAGAGCACAAAACAAAATTCTGTGTTTTAAATTTAAAAGCTCTGTCATACTCCTTTACTATGGTAAAACTATAAAAAATTTTGTTTAAAAGCTGCCTATGGCTTCATATCTCCCCCATTCTGTAAACACAGATAAGAGTGTACTTACCTCCAAAGTTACAGCTCTCAGGAGCTCTGGATTAGAGTTACACAATGCTCCCGCAAGCACCCCTCCAGCACTGAAAGCAGTCAGGGTTGTTAGA